TTTTAACCTTGAATTTATTTTATGCATGTTTGTAATTAATTTTGATTTCAATATTTGATTTTTTAATGTAACTTTAATTTATTTATTTAGTGATTAGATTCGGTAATTAAAAGGTAGAATATTATCAAGTCTCCTAATTTTGTAAGGGTCGATAACGACCTTTCACCAAATAAAAAAAAATAAAGAGAAAATAAAAAATTAAAAAAATCATAAAATGTTTATCAAAGTCTCATATTTGATAGAGACTATTGTTAGATAAAATAAATTATTTTTAGCAATTGCATCATTCTTCGACACATCAATTGTGTCGAAACTTAAAATGAATCCGATGTTTGAAAAATTTATTATGACAAGAAAATAAAGATTCGATTTGACATGACCTATAAAAAAATCTAATTTTAAGTTATAATTAAAAAAATCATAAACAAGAATATAAAAAATTGTTTGTTAATTTTTGTTCAAATTTTTATGTTACTTTATTTTTTCGATACAATGTTATGAAAAAAATATTTAAAAAATTAAAATATATTTTTAAAAATTTTATAGCTAGATTATTATGAATTTTTTAAGAATAAATACATAAAAAAATAAATCTTGCTTTTTTAACTATAAAAATTGTTAAAAAGTAAACAAAAAAAGAGATGTAAAATTTTGATTAAGAATTATAAATTAGATAAAATTTATCTTTAATTTAATATATTTTTATAAACTAATAGTATAAATATGTTTAATTCGATTCGCGGTATAACGCGAGAAGCCCACTAGTATAATCCATTTAGTTAGTATAATCTATTTAGGAAAAGTTTGTTGAATAAAAAATTAATAAGTTTCCCAAAGTGACTTCATATAAGAAAAGTACGATTTTCTACTTTTCTTTGTATGGAAGGGTGGATTTGTACCCTCGGGAAAAAATCCACCAGAATATTAACAAAATAGTGTATTATTAAATTTACAATCTTTTATTTAGTTAGATTTATGGCATGTTTATCCATTTTGAAATTACTTATTTTTTAGAATTACTAGAGTAATTACTTATTAGATTTAAAATTACTTTCTTGAAGTGTTTCATATCTATAATTATATAATTTTTCTTGAGCATAATATATGTTCATAAAATATGTATCACTCTCTTTTGACAAACTATATATGTATATTAACCAAACAAATTCATAAGATTTCCTTATTCCTACCATGACATTAATTTCTAGTCTCATGACTCTTATCTATTCATATCATATAAATAGATTTTATTTATTTGTTCAAACAAACAAATTCATAAATTTTGTAATACTAATTATGGTAAAATTGTTAGAGAATTAAAACGTAATTATTAGCATCTGTTATCCCATACTTTATAAAGTTCTATTTTTTTCCCCTCAAATCTTTTAACAGTTTTGCGTTATAAATAAATAAAGAAACATACAGTAGAAAACAACAAAGACTTTGCCATTAATTCAACTTCCAAAATTTCTATTCTAAGACTTTCCTTGAAGTTTCCGTTTCTTTAATTACGACTTGAAAAGTCCGTACTCCAACGACCTTTTGCAAACAAAGTTTTCCACTTCCAAAAGTAAATTATAAATTAATTTCTTTATTTTTTAAAAAATAAATTAATTAGTACTTCTTTTTTCAAAAAAATTAATACTAATATTATTTAAAAATCATTTTTCATCAATTTTTTTATTTTTTCTTTCATTTTCTATTTCTTAAAATAAAAAATTAAAATTAATTAAAAAAATAACGAAAAAGATTAAGTTATAAATTTTTTTAAAAAATATTAGGTTTAAAATAATTATTTTTTTTAATATAAAGAGGATTAATTAATTTGTTTTTCCAATGAACTAATTTATAATTTCCTTCTTCCAAAGCCAACCCAAAAAGGTCTTCCTTAGCAGCAAACTGTGCTTCCTAGGTCTTTTGCCTTGATCTCAAAACCCATTTTGCCTTTGAACCAATCTACATCTTCTCATCTATACTGGGTCTCTGTTTTTTTTTTTTTTTATCTGCGTATACCATTTCATTTCACTGTAACCATTAAAGGGTTCCTTTTTTCCTCTGTTTTTTTTTTTTCACATGGGTTTTGGTCTGTAATTTGTGTTGATTTGACCTCCAGCAGAAGAGAGCTTGATTTTTCGTTTATGGGTTTGGAGAATAAGGAACTCTGGATGCTTCAATCTCAGTGTTAAAGACCTTTTTTTTTTTTTTTTTTTTAAAGGTTTTTGACACTTGCTTGCCATTTACTTCATTTTGTCAATCTTTTCCTATTGTGTTTGAGCTTCAAGTTTTGATCTTTCTTCTCTACATAGTACATAGCTATCTTATGGATGCTGTAGCTGTAACGAGATAGACTTATTTGATATATGCTGTGATTGCGTTATGGCTGCGAATGGCAAGAATTCTCGCCTCAAAGCTGGGGCTTATCGCCGATTTTTATATCTAGTTTTAGTTACTTTGGTAGGGGTTTTACTGCTGGTTGTTCTGCTTGGAACAAATTCAGTGTCAAATTTTGTGTCACAGTCTCCAAATGAATCGTCGGTTAAGGATTTGACACGTGGTTGTAACTACTCAGATTACGGATCAATTCTCAATCTCCCCAAACAGAGTGAGTTATCAATTCGATTGCAGAAGCTTAACCAGTTGCCGCCGAGGAATACGGATCTGTATCCGAAGTTAGCTAAGAATCATATAACCATTGTCCTATACGTTCATAATAGGCCCCAATATCTCAGAGTGGTTGTGGAGAGCTTGTCAAAGGTAGTGGGGATAAGTGAGACTCTACTTATTGTTAGCCATGATGGATACTTCGAAGAAATGGACAAAATTGTGGAGGGTATCAAATTTTGCCAAGTGAAGCAGATATTTGCCCCATATTCACCCCATGTCTTTCCTGATAGTTTTCCTGGTGTTTCCCCCAACGACTGTAAGGATAAGGATGATGCGGCTAAGAAACATTGTGTTGGGAATCCTGATCAATATGGAAACCACCGATCACCGAAGATAGTGTCATTAAAGCATCATTGGTGGTGGATGATGAATACAGTATGGGATGGATTGAAGGAGACAAAGGGGCACGCTGGTCATATTCTTTTCATAGAGGAGGATCACTTCATTTTTCCTAATGCGTATCGCAACTTGCAGAAACTAGCTGCATTGAAGCCTGAGAAATGTCCAGATTGCTATGCTGCAAATTTAGCACCTTCTGATGTGAATTCAAGAGGGGAAAACTGGGCTAGTTTAATAGCTGAGCGGATGGGAAATGTTGGCTACTCCTTTAATAGAACGGTTTGGAGAAAAATTCATATGAAGGCCAGAGAATTTTGTTTATTCGATGAATACAATTGGGATATAACAATGTGGGCAACAGTCTATCCTTCTTTTGGTGGTTCTGTTTACACGCTACGAGGGCCAAGAACTAGTGCAGTTCATTTTGGGAAGTGTGGTTTGCATCAGGGTCATGGGGCAAAAAGTGCTTGCATGGATAATGGTGCAGTGAATATCGCAGTAGAAGATGCTGATAAAGTGGCCAACATTGATTCAAAATGGGACGTGCGGTTCTTTGAGAATCAGCCAGGGTATAAAGCTGGTTTCAAGGGCTGGGGTGGCTGGGGAGATGAGAGAGACCGCGGACTGTGCTTGAAATTTGCCGATATGTATCACTTCACAGGCACTCGTTCTGCATCTGAAGATTGAGTTTATGGCATTTTGAGTTCATTGGTTGTAACTGGTGAGGTCTAGATCAATTTTATTGAGCAATTTAAAGGGGAGCATTAGTAGATATCATATGTATGTAGTATCATACCCTGCTATGCTGTTTCTTAACCATATAGCTTTAATGAAATCTGATTTTTGCCATAGCTTTCTTAAGTCCATTTTGCTATATTTTTCTTGAGCATTTTCTAGTTCTAAAATCACCTGGAAGAAAGTGGTCAGAATTCGGCAGCATATAGAGCGTAATCTATATGTTGATGTTAAATCTGCTCGCTTTATTGTGCCTGTTGCGGTGTAAAATAGCTGTCTTCATCTGCACTCGCATTACAGATGTTTCCATATTTGCAGACTTTTATGCATCTGCTATATATATATATATTCCTTTTCTTTTCTTTTTCCTTGTTTGTGTATTTGCATCTCATTAGTTTTAAATGCTTGAAGTGGATGACTACTTGAGTTGTGTTCTCTGATTACCAAAGCCCTTGGTTCCAGGCCTTAAAAAGCTCTTGATTATGGAAAAGAAACTTCACATGTTACATGCTTGTGGATTAGTGTGTGTGATTGAGATATTAATTCTAATCGATCACCCTTCATTTCAGAAATGACTTGATTAGCTTTCCATCTATTCTTCGATGGTTGTCCAAAATTAAATTAATGGTTCTGTCAAATGGACGATTGATATTTTAGGGTGACTCTGTAATCGTTAGGCGGGCAATGAATGAGGCATTGGTCTAACTCTTTAAAACAAGAATCAATAAAGCATTCTTACTGTATCTTCTACCTCTTGCTTCTACATAACTTGAGGAAGAACAAGGATACAGTACACTAATCAAGTTTAACTCTGACTTGTATATACAAAAAGGCATAAGGCACTGTACTTCTAGAATAGTTTAGAATTTTGAGATTGGTCTAGCAAACACATGTAATGTCTACGATTTAGATTTGTCTTCTTTTGAATATTGTGAAAGCAATTTCTTCGTCAACTAAGTAGAAAGTCTGAATGAAAGAAAATATTATTTGTACCTTATGATATTAAAGAGTTGCCTGGCAAGCCATTTCTTGAAATTCAGAGGGTTCATGAAACTTACATGGCACCTAAAGTTCCAACCCATACTGGTTTGGCTGTCGATTAATGAAAATTGGAGCCAGATGTGTTTCTTTTGTTCCGATCACAAGTACCAAGCTAAATGCAGAACCAAAAAAGGTATTTGCAGGTGGACCTGTGCAAGATCGCATAAACTAGTCTATCAAAGAGCCCAATTGTTACGAGCATTGTTGAAGAAGAGGTTCTGATGGATGTGTGGAAATTGCAAAGTGCTGACAAACTGTGTTCATTGGAGGATGAGCAAAGGTGCGTGAGTTAAATGAGATGTTTATTTTCAAGGTCGTTGAAAATTTGATAGGATGAGAATTCTGCCGTGAATAACATTGGTGCTTGGAGCTTGATATGATGGTTTGTTGTGTGGTATGAATTTATAAGCAGAATCTTTGTCCTAAGCGACCACGATAGCATTAATTTAGTTGGCATGGTTCATAGTTTGAAGCGTATTTTGGTTCTTATGAAGCAGCATTGGCAGAGAAATTTTGTTCTCCAGTATTTAAGCTGGTCAAGTAATTTGCATCTGGGAATATTTTAGAGGCGAATATTGCAAGGAACTTTTGATTTTCGTTATAGTTTACCATCCTTGTCAATTTTGCGAAGGGAAAGCTGCAAACACTGCAGCCTATATGGAGTGTAGGTAAGGGGGGCACTGCATTGGGTAATGTATCAGTTGTCCCAGGAATCCATGTTGCTAGGGAGGAGATTGCCCGTTTAAGATTATTTGGCCTATGTTCGTCAGAGTTGAGATTGTTGTTTCCAGCAGGCAAGTCTGATATTTGTCATCATAGGTTCCAAATACTTTTTTTATATATCATAGAAAGGTTAGGGTTGACTGTAGTTGTAAAAAGAAGATATTCGCTCTCTTTGGAAAAGTCTAATTTGCACGTGAAATCATCCAAAAAAGGTATTGAAATAGGAGTTTTTAGCTTGTAGAAAGCACCTTTCTAGTTATGTGAGTTAACCAGCATCTTCTTCATTGATTATCTTGACTTGTAAAGTTTTGGCAACAAAAAGCTCAAATGGATGTTTAAAGGTGGATTAAGCAACTATAGCTCGAATCATGCGATAACAGGAGAACTATATCTGTATGTTTCTTTTTAGGATGAGTGTCTGCTCCTTCTGCAAACACACACCAGAGTCAGGGGTATATCTGGGATTGCCTTAGATTGTGTTAGGGCGCAATTCAGGCTCTGCGTTTAGGTGCCAGTAGCCAATAACAAAGATGTATATTGTCTTAAGGTTTTGTTCTTTCTGCTCCTGTAAGATTGAAATGTCAAGCGGGCTATAGTCCAGCTCAGGGGCTGCAGAAAACAAGCTGTGCACAATGGACCCAGTCCTAGCAACAAAGGCAACTCAAGAGCAATGGTCTGCTCAGGAATTGGACTGGCGTCGATATAATCGTGGACTAAAGGAGCTTCCGTACACAGCTTGCAGTCTAATGGCGGTCAAGGTAAGAGACTTGCTGGAAGAACAAAAGGTGATATTTGAATAACTGATATGATGAAATCATGAAAATCAAAGTTGGTTGATATTTTTCCACACCATAGTCGTACTTGGTGACAAAATTCAGAGGAAGTTAGCAGATAAGCTTGCTTGACAGTTACTTCTGCATATTTTCTTCTCTGTAGAATGACAGACAGCAGATAAGTATGAAGTTGATATTTCCTTTGACGGCCAGTGACTAAACTAAATCACCAAAAGTTCGTTTGGCAAGATCCCAATTAACTTGGTTTATTACTGTTGTTAGGTCCACCGTCCCAACAGTGAGATACCACACTTTTCAAATTTTCATCATCATAAAACTGTCCTCAAGCTCGAACTGGCCGCCTCCTCTTGCTTAATTCACTTACCTTTGAAATTAGCACCCGAACAAAATAACAATCTATTCTTATCAACTTCTGTACAAGTTTAGCCTCTCTTCTCTTTATATATATATACATATGAGTGTATGCTTGCTTATTAAACCTGCCTTGCCTACCAAGTTCGCATCTCTCAATTAATATGAGTTCTCAAGCACTGACACGAACCAGGGCTCATCAACCATGTGCTGCTTGTAGGATACTACGCAGGAGATGCGACAGCAATTGCATGCTAGCCCCATATTTTCCAGGTGATGAAGCTGAGAAATTTGTTTGGGTTCATAAGGTGTTTGGTGCCAGCAATGTTATCAAAATGATTCAGGTTGAGCATTACATACACTTGACACTAGCTAGCTTAGTTCTGCAATTTAATGAGCAGTATAGTCATGAATTACTTGTTCTTTTCATCAGGTGAAGTTTCCTAGACGAACACTCTTTATTTTAATCCGCTGCTTTGTTACAACTTTCTTCAATAAAAGTGCATGATTACTGTGCAAACTAAATACTCTATGTATGATTTAATGCAAGGACATTGAAGCCAACAATTGAAACTGAATCCGCTTATCTCCCATCCCATTAGCAAGTACCTAAGAGACTTAATTACAAGTTTTAAAGGCTTTTTTAGGACATCATGAATTCATGGTGTAAGTGTACTAAATATATATAGATTTGTTATTACTTTTTCCAGACGGTGGAAGAATCAAAAAAGAAGATGCTGTTAAAGCAATCATCTATGAAGCAACATCAAGGCTCAGAGACCCTGTATATGGCAGTGCTGGAACAATATTCCACTTGCAAAAGATGGTTCAGGAACTCAAAATTCAGGTGGAATCCATGAAAGCTCAAGTTCTGCAGATAAAAGAACAAAGAGACCAGCTATTGGGCATCCTGATGAACGTCGATCATCTTGATTCCACCTCCTCGGTTAACGACCACATGTTTGATGGTGGCAGCACTTTAATGTTGGATGAAGATCATACAATGGCTTATGATCCCATCACATTTTCCCCCGAAAGTGACTGGACTTTCTGATGGGAAATAAATAAATAGTCCCACTAAAGTAATGTTAAATTTTTTTTGTTTGATTCAGCTAGAGCTCAGGAAAAATGTGTTAGCAGTGTATCAGGAGTATTAAATCAAGAAGAAGGTTTAAAAATCATGAGGAAATTTATGGGATATATATATATATATTGACTTGGTGTTGTATACTAGGAAATGTGCCTAACTATATATTTTTTTCTCACCTTTTAAGATTCCCATCAGAAAAGAAACTTAAAAGCTACATGGATGATGCAGTGAAAACTTATCAAAAACAAAATAAATATTATTGATCTGAAATTTAGATATCGGTCTACTATAATCTATTGAATTGCCTATAAATATCAAGAAATATATTTCAATCTCATTGATTCAAAAAAATCGAAAATTGAAATAAAACTAAGATGCTCTCTCATAAAATTTTATTAGCAAAACAAATTGTGTTTTTCTATCTCAAAGTCATACATTAAAATAGTCAATTTCAGTTAAAACCCTAAAACGATTCAAAAGAAAAACAAATACGAAAAATCTAAAAAATTAAAAAAAATCTCAAAAAATAATAAAAGTAGATTTCGAGGGTCTAAATAATATCTTTTGATCAAAACTATCTCTATGTCAAGGATAATGTCATGCATTTTGATTATTGGTTTATTTGACATCAAATTAGATCTAAAAAACCTCAAAATTAAATAATAGTTTCTGTTCAATTTTTAGTATGTTAATAGCGTTTCACGAATTCTAAGTACTTTTAGTCTGCATCAATTTGCCTAACTATATATGTTTGCTACTGCCGTTCTCCATATGTCCCATCTAATGGGAATTTTATATGTAAGGAAATGTGAAGTGACGGCTTTCAGTCGCATTCTGAAATTAACCTCCCGCAGGCCCATGATAGAGAAGAGAAAAAGTGGTACCTACGTAATTTCCCACTGAAAGAAAGGAGAGAAGGAATGAATAGATGAAAACAATCATGAATCAAATTAATACCTTTTGCGTTATGTTTCTAATTTCTATGATACAAAACCAAATTAATAGGAAGCTGAAACAATTGATGTATGCATGCCTCTCTTCTTAAATTTAATTATGATACAATTAGAGCCACTTACAAGAACTAATAAAATAGGAAATGATAATATTATAAGGATAAAAATTGTTGGATAATAATTATGAATGATTAATGAAAAATGGAATTAAAACTAATGAAGCAAATTTATAGTAAGGTATGAATAGATATGAGTGTTATATGAAAAGAACTAGATATATTCGTCTGTCTTTAATTATATAATACTATTTTACCAAAATCTCGTGAATTAAGCAGGCTTAAAATAATAGTTATATATCGAGTTCGCTTTTTTAACAAAGAAAAGTTCTAGTGGTGATGATTTTAATTTCTTTAATAATTATGTAATTAGAAGAATTATTCCTATTTTAAAAATTATGTAATTAGAAGAATTATTCCTATTAATGTCTCACATGAATGGGAAAAAAAAAAAACCCCTACTGTAAAGTAACATTCTTTTCACATTCATTTTCCCAAAAAATTATTCATTGCATGGAAGTTATATAGGTGAAATCTATCAAAATAATTAGTTGAATGATGGGAAAAAACGGAGAAAAAATATGGGTGTTTGGCCCAAAAAAAAAAATTAATTAATTAATAAATGACTAGGATTGTAGCTACCGAAAACGACCGCAGACTTCTCTAGTAACTGGATCGATGGAAGAGCTTCAGTCTAAAGAAAGCTTGAGAAAGACCTCTGCAAGCTCTAAAAAGGTAACGTAAGTAGAGTTACCGCTGTGTTTTGTTTTAGTAGTAATTTTCACTTTCTTTATAAAGCTACCCAAAACTGGCTTCGTTTCTTGATTCTTGATATTATAATTATTTAAGCCATAAAGATATGGGTGTTGCTGACTGAAAATTCATTACCAGCAAAATTCATGGTCACTTCTTGCTCTGTCTGTCTTTGATTGGTGATTTTGGTTTTATTTCCTCATACAGAGAAATGAATGTCAATTTGTTGGGATGGACTAACCGTCTGGATAACGATTATTATTAATATTATGGTTATTATGGTTATTTTAATATTTGATGGAGTTTTGAGCAGTGCAGGATTTAAATTGTGAGTTTGGGAGGTTTGTTTATCTGGGTTTTGGTTTTTTATGGAAATTAGTGGAAAAGAAACATTAACTTCACAGATGTTTTTGTTAGTAAGAGAATCCAGCTATTGGTGGTGACCCGTTGTTTTTTCTTGGTAGCTTTTTTGGTAGAGAATAGAATCATGAGTATTATGTGTATTAGGCCTTCTTTCCTTTTCCATTCATGCTTTTTCTTTATGTTTCATGGGATTCAAAATGATAAAGGGATTGCTTTTGGTATTTCCACTCTTTTTATCTGCTCCTCTTGATTCCTAGGTCCAGTAGATTCTAGATGATAAAGAGTTGATAATTTTGATGTGGGTTTTGAAGTTGATTTTGTTCTTTTCTGGGAAGTTAATTTTTGTTGTTTAAGCACATAATTAGGGACTTTATGTTAGAGGACTAGCCTATATTTTGGTATGGTAGCTTTATGGTTTTTTTTTTTTTTTTTTTTACATGGATTGGTTTGTCAAAAGAATGTAATAGAGAAATAGACGAGTAGGAGTTAGGAGGAGGGTTTAGAGATGTCGTCAAAATCAACAAGCAAGACAAACAATAGTGCAAGGAGCAACTCTGCTCAATCAAAACAAATTGCTCGTGTGGTTGCGCAGACCCCAATTGATGCAAAGTTACATGTAGACTTTGAAGAATCTGAACAGCAGTTTGATTATTCTACTTCAATTGATGTCAACATATCAAGTTCAACTAGCAATGTTCCTTCTTCAACCGTATCAGCTTACCTTCAAAAGATTCAGAGAGGGAGACTTATTCAATCATTTGGTTGTATGATTGCTGTGGATGAACAAAATTTGACGGTTATTGCCTACAGTGAAAATGCCCCTGAAATGTTGGACTTAACCCCTCATGCTGTCCCAAGCATTGAGCAGCAAGAAACTCTAACTTTCGGAGCAGATGTACGGACACTTTTCCGATCATCAGGGGCTGCTGCCTTGCAGAAAGCTGCAACCTTTGGAGAACTTAATCTCCTCAATCCCATATTGGTTCATTGTAAAACCTCAGGCAAGCCCTTTTATGCAATTTTGCATAGAATTGATGCAGGGTTGGTTATTGATTTGGAACCAGTTAATCCAGCTGATGTACCAGTGACTGCTGCAGGGGCAATGAAGTCTTATAAACTTGCTGCAAAAGCCATCTCTAGATTGCAGTCCTTGCCCAGTGGGAATATATCATTGTTGTGTGATGTTTTAGTCAAGGAAGTCAGTGCTTTGACTGGTTATGATCGGGTAATGGCGTATAAATTTCATGAAGATCAGCATGGGGAAGTTGTTGCAGAGTGTTGCAGACCTGACTTGGAACCTTACCTCGGCTTGCATTACCCAGCTACTGATATACCACAAGCTTCACGATTCCTCTTCATGAAAAACAAGGTGCGAATGATATGTGATTGTCTGGCCCCGCCAGTTAAAGTGGTTGGACACAAAAGATTGGCTCAACCGTTAAATCTTTGTGGGTCCACCTTGAGATCTCCTCATGGATGTCATGTACAATATATGGAAAATATGGGTTCAATTGCATCTCTTGTGATGTCTGTAACAATCAATGAGGATGATGATGAGATGGACAGTGATCAGCAGAAAGGAAGAAAATTGTGGGGCTTGGTAGTTTGCCATCACACAAGCCCTAGGTTTGTTCCATTTCCTTTGAGGTATGCATGTGAGTTCTTGCTCCAAGTTTTTGGTGTTCAGATCAACAAAGAAGTGGAGTTGGCTGCTCAAATGAGAGAAAAGCACATCTTGGAAACACAAACTGTGCTTTGTGACATGCTACTTAGAGATGCTCCTGCAGCAATTATCACTCAGTCACCTAACGTCATGGATCTTGTTAAGTGTGATGGAGCAGCACTTTATTTCAGGAAGAAGTTTTGGTTGCTTGGAGTTACCCCTACAGAGGCACAAATTAGAGACCTATCCGAATGGCTTCTTCAGTATCACAGTGAAAGTACAGGATTAAGCACTGATAGCCTTTTGGAAGCTGGCTACCAAGGAGCTTCAGCTCTCGGTGATGCAGTTTGTGGGATGGCTGCTATTAAAATTAATTCAAAAGATTTCCTTTTTTGGTTTAGATCCCACACTGCTAAAGAGATAAAGTGGGGTGGTGCAAAACACGACCCTGATGACAAGGATGATGGGAGAAAGATGCACCCAAGATCATCATTCAAGGCTTTCCTGGAGGTGGTTAAGCGGCGGAGTTTACCTTGGGAAGATGTTGAAATGGATGCTATCCATTCCTTACAGCTGATATTGAGAGGATCCTTGCAGGATGAGACTGTGGGCGATTCTGAGATGACTACTGTAAGTGTACCATCAGTTGATGATAGAATAAAAAGGGTGGATGAGTTGCACATCATCACAAATGAAATAGTTCATCTTATTGAGACAGCTGCTGTCCCCATCCTGGCTGTTGATGCCGTAGGTAATATAAATGGGTGGAATTCCAAAGCAGCTGAACTTACTGGTCTACCTGTTGACAAAGCAATTGGCATGCCCTTAGTTGATCTCATTGAAAGCAATTCAATTGATGTAATCAATAACATGCTATCATTGACTTTGCAAGGTGATTCTACAATTTTACCTTTGACCTTTAGATTAATGGTTTATGGTATTCTTGGACTCTTTCATGTTTTATATCGTATTTGCTGTTCATAGTTAGTGAATTTTTATAACTCCGTGACAGTGTACTTTGCTTTATTTCTTGCCACAATGTTTTGCTTTTATCTGCTCAGATCTGATTTTGCTTGTTTGTTTTACTAGGAAATTTATATCTGGGGATATATCTGTTTATATGTTAGTTAAAAACTTTGAACAAGAATGACCCAGTTGATTTTCTCACTTTCATTCAGTTCAGGTGCCATTTGCTAACCTTAACTAGGCGCAAGCCATCTAGGCTTATGAAGTCTAGTTAGTTCCATATTTCATTCAGCTTATGCTATTATATTATGGGACGGATTGTGGAAGCACACCTTTCCATTCTAAGAAGTATTACAGTTACTTGTTCCAAATGCATGCACTATTGTATTGATCTGTGTAGGTTAAGTTTCACATATCTTCACCATTCCCTCCTCAGAAGGATGAAAATAAAGAGATCTATATTGTTCCTGCAATGTATCCTCATTCTTTTGCCTTCTTATGAATCATGCTGGTCCTTTGTCTGATGCTGAATGATATCAAAATGGCAGGTGTGGAAGAGAAGAATATTGAAATCAAACTTAAAACTTTTGGTCCTCAAAACAATGATCATGTAGTTTTGGTTGTTAATGCATGTTGCAGTCGAGATGTAAAGGAAAATGTGGCAGGTGTTTTCTTTGTTGGGCAAGATGTTACGGGAGAAAAGTTGTTTTTGGACAAATACACCCGTATCCAGGGTGATTATGTTGGAATACTGCGGAACCCATCTGCACTTATTCCGCCAATTTTTATGACCAATGAGCATGGCCAATGCTTGGAGTGGAATGGTGCAATGCAAAAATTGTCTGGTTTGAAGAGGGAAGAAGCCATCGATCGGATGCTTCTTGGGGAGGTTTTCACAGTCGATACTTTTGGTTGTCGGGTTAAAGATCATGACACCTTAACCAAACTCAGGATATTACATAATGGTGTAATTGCGGGCCAGAATGCTGAGAAACTGTTATTTGGATTCTTTGATCGACATGGTAAATATGTTGAAGTTTTACTTTCTGCAAATCAAAGAACTGATGCAGAGGGAAGAATCACTGGAGTTTTGTTTTTTCTGCATGTGGCTAGTCCAGAACTTCAATATGCTTTGCACGTGCAAAGAATATCAGAATGGGCTGCAGCTGATAGCCTGAATAAATTGGGATATATTCGTCAGGAAGTCAGGAATCCTCTAAACGGGATTATACTTACACAGAATTTAATGGGGTCTTCAGATTTAAGCCAAGAACAGAGGCAGCTTCTCAGGACGAGCATATTGTGTCAGGAACAGTTGACCAAGATCATCAACGACACTGATGTAGAAAGTATTGAGGAATGGTAAGATCCATTTGGTGGATTTTCTTTGCGTATTTGGTGCAGTGAGCTTAACATTAGTTATAAAAACAGTTGTAATATTTCTCACTGCTTTTAACCTTTTGTCTAAAATTTTTGTACTGTACCCTCACTTGCAGCTATATGGAATCAAATACTGGTGAATTTAATCTTGGGGAATCATTGGAAGTTGTCATAAAACAAGCTATGACATTGAGTTCTGAGCGGCAGGTGCAGATCGTCTGCGATTTACCAGCTGAAGTGTCACCTATGCAACTGTATGGAGACAACTTGAGGCTTCAACAAGTCCTTTCAGATTTTTTGACAAATGCAGTCCTCTTTACCCCGGCATTTGAGGGATCATCAGTTGCTTTCAGGGTAATTCCACGAAAGGAACGTATAGGGGTGAAGCTACAAATTGTTCACCTTGAATTTAGGTAACCAGTATTTGACCTTCTCATTATGCTTTAGTTTCTTGCAAAATGGAAATATAAAGAGAGAAAAACCACCATGCTTATGTTCTGGTGTTCAAAATTGGATACTGGTTGGCATGTCATCTTTTCCTTTTCTTTTTTGAAGTTCATGTTTTAATCGAGGAACTTTTCAAAATACAATGACTAGTAACGACCCTAGTCATTGTCATTCAATCCAAATGGGAAATGTTGATGGATATTTCCAGTTCAGAGCAGTGTACATTGGTTTATGAGGTTGCTCTATTCCCAAAGTATAATCACAATGCATATTCTTATATGCTGTGTGGTAATGATACTTGCATAAAGATGACCAATCAGATCTATGAGATGTCAATCTTAAGACTTGCAATTTCATTGCTGCTGATAAATATTGTTACATCATGTGCATGTCACAATTAATGCTGGGAGGAATTATAACAAAGACAAGGTTCTTATGCTGTCAATCTGAAAATATACTGAAGTAGATGATCATTTGAATTTCAAGAATTTGTCTGGAACCACTCAAGGCATATCTTAGAAATGATAGTGGAACTCTGCATCTGTCAATATTGACACATGCACCTTAGATTCCACTAGCACTATCTTCATAATTTTTCCTACGCAAATGAACCATTTTCCCATCTTCAATCAATCACATCCTTTGTACATGCTTAAAAATTTTCAATTATTTTCTTCTATCCAACTTCAATTTCATTTTGTGATGATTAACCATATACTGCATGTATCTGAATCTTTCTAGGATGTGAAGACATAAAGCACTCCAATTTCCTAATTGGTTTCCGCCATAAAAGTTGTTTTCTGAATTATCTTGTTCAAAATGATGAACTTGCCTTCGAATGCCTCTGCCTTCAAATGCATATGAAATCAAGTAGAATATGGACACGTTATTTTTCTCCTTCCGTAGTTAAATGTTGAAGCTATTCCATGTAATGCTAGGAAAATGAAACAAAAGTTGATGGCATGTTATGTTTTTGTATGCATGTATATGAATAAGAAAAAGCAAATCAACCAAATTTGTGAATCTAATTGTGGGTTTCGTGGCAGAATCACCCATCCAGCCCCAGGGATTCCAGAATATTTAATCAAAGAAATGTTTCACCACAGCCAGGGTGTTTCAGGGGAAGGTTTTGGCCTATACATCAGCCAGAAGCTTGTGAAGATTATGAATGGAACTGTACAGTATCTTAGAGAAGCAGAAAGATCGTCTTTTATTATTCTCATAGAATTTCCGTTGGCTGACCAGACTGACCTCCGATAGACCATATCTTCTTGAGCGGAGCAGACAAGCATTTTCGGTTGCTAGCTTAACAAGACAGTGTTAGCTCAACTTGTTGAAAATAACTTGCTTAAATAGCTCAAGATGCAAAAGCCCTTGAAATGAGTTGGCAAAGTAGCTGTGTCCAGAATGGATTAGGGTTCTCAGGATCAAGCCTTCACTAGGGGAAATTCCATCGATTCGAAAAGGAAGGGGAAGAATAAAAAAGCACATTGTTGAATCAAGGGAATGATACTGGAATTTGTGCTTCTCAACTTCAGTTAAAAAAAACAAAAAATATGGTCCCTTGTAACATCAGTCTTCTGTATAACAGTTTGTTTCAGGTTTCGTTCAATAAAGTTGTAGTACCTAATTTCTTGAGCACTGTCTCTTCTTCTTTGGAGAGTTACTGAAAAACTCAAGTCCTTGTGTTATACAGTCATATCTCTCTCTGTCTGGAAGTAAGTTCTTTTCTTTGTGGATAGCTACTCCACTGAGCTCTGGTTAAAGATGTTCAAAACATCTCATATTTAACTTGCTTTTTCTAGCTACTCTAGCAAGTGACATCATAGTTTTAAATCGCAATTGTTGATGTTGTAAAAAGTAATTGCAATTGCAGTTTATCGCAATAGTGAAGTAAGGATGTCGTAAAGCAAATGCATTAACAATGTTCAATAAATTTATTCTAAAATAAAAATAATTTTTTTGAAACAATAATATAACGATTTTTATTGAAAAAAAAAACATTAATAACTACTGTTACCATTTTATAATATTATTATTTTTTTTTGTTATTTAAGTGAAACATTATTAGTTCTCTATAAGATCGTATAAGGAAAACAGGCATGACTGAATCAGCTATTATTCTGGAACCATGCATGACATGGCTGTTCTCTGTTCAAAACAGAAGAATGATCAAAGAGAAGGAAAATTCATGGACCAATTTGCTGAAGTGGCCCGTGAACTCTTATCTCAACAGGGCCTATTAACCAAATTGGGCCTTAATATTTTTGAGAAAAAATTGGGCCTGATTACCACAATTCATTGTTTGTCTAGCAGTGAAGGAAAGAGGATGTGAAGTGTGAACTACAAAAAAACTAAAAGGGTTTTCTAATAAAATTAAATTACTGCTTTATGTCTATAATAATTCATTAATTCTCCACATCATCATCATCATCATGAGCATTATCGGTAAGTAATTCCTGTTTAGTGAGCTTGTTTAGCTAACATATCAAATTATACTGTTAATTGTCTTGTCTCCCCACCCCTCCCCTCTTCTTCTTCTTTTTTTTTTTTTTATTCTTGTCATTGTCTTGTGATTCAAAGCTGATTGTTGCCGGGCGTATTTACATCACTACATTGTGAAAATTCTGGGAATTCTGAATCGTTTTTGGTGGGATTCATTCTGTTTACTGGGTAAGAGCCATTTTTGCAATTTTGAATTTTTTTGTACCGTTCTGTTACATGGAAGAAAACAAAAATTTGGGGCTTTCCCTTCAGATTCTTTTGTTTTACTGGTAAATTTCATTTTCTGCTACGGAATCAGTTACTGCTTTGGAATTTTGTTTAATTTGAAGTGAACCTTTTTATTTATCGACTGATTAATCAGCTTCAATCCAAAATGTTAGTTTTTTTTTTTTTTTAATCGTTTATCTGTGTGGTTTTAGCTTTGACATGAATAGGGTCTGTTTTGTTTTCGTCAATATCTATGTGTCTAGCTTTGTTTTTGTTTTCATTTCTTTGTCTGTTGAAAGATATGCAGAAAATGGAATTTATGTGGTGATGATGGATTTTTCCAAGCTTTTTATTTTTTAACTGTGATTTTTTGAGTAATTGCCCTAACTCCAGAATATAATGTGTTTGTACCCAGCAGCAGTTTTTCTTCTTTTTGTTTTCCCCTAATTTGATATGGGCACAAAGAAAATTTTGAATTTTGTTGTTTAAAACTATGTTAAGCGTAATGGGGCATTGTTCTGTGTTCTTGGAGCAGTGGTCTGATTCTGATCCTGTCCTGGCCTTCCGCTCTTTCACATAAAGTGGCATTGACAGAACCTGTTACCTTGAATTGATTTTGCTATCTTTAATCAGAAACATCTTCTTCAACCGTGCATTTAAATAGTTTGGTTTTAATACTCAGCCTTCAATTTTTCGAAACTACTTGTTAAGTTGGATGAGTAGAGAGGCGAAAAGTATCTTCATCTTATTTTTAGAAGTTCCTTTCAGGTGACAAAAGATTTAAGAACTGAAATAGAATGTAGCAATTTACTTTCATCTTCTTCTTTTTTTTTCCCTTTTAGTTTCTAATCTTCAGAATTTTGAATTGCAACATTTTTTCTGTCTTGCATTCGCTCAGAAACCAACCGAAGCCTAAGGATCTGAAAGTTAAATATTCTTTGGTCACTGGTGAATGAAGCCATCAACTAACATATGGATTCGGCGCCAGCAGTGCCCATGTGGAGATTGGAAGTGCTATATTAAGTATGAGGGAGATGACCAGACTTCAGTGAGCTCTCAGCTAGTAAAGAATGAGACAACATCAACATCATCGCCAACAGAAGTAGTCTTCACTCCTTACGTGGGTCAAATTTTCAAAAGTGATGATGATGCTTTTGAATACTACTCCAATTTTGCTCGGAAGAATGGGTTTTCAATTAGGAAAGCACGGTCGACTGAAAGCCAACATTTAGGGATTTACAGAAGAGATTTTGTTTGTTACCGTTCTGGATTTAATCAACCAAGGAAAAAGGCCAATGTGGAGCATCCCCGGGATCGGAAATCAGTACGATGCGGATGTGATGCAAAATTGTATTTGACAAAGGAAATTGTTGATGGTGTTGCTCAATGGTATGTCTCACAGTTTAGCAATGTTCATAATCATGAACTGTTGGAAGATGACCAAGTGCGTTTGCTACCTGCATATCGTAAAATACAGGAGGCTGATCAAGAGAGGATTCTTTTGCTATCCAAAGCAGGGTTTCCTATTAATCGGATAGTGAAGGTGTTGGAGTTAGAAAAAGGAGTCCAACCTGGACAATTGCCCTTTATAGAGAAGGATGTTAGGAACTTTGTTCGGACTTGTAAAAAGACTGTTCAAGACAATGATGCTTTGCTCACTGAGAAGAGAGAGAATGATACATTGGAACTCCTTGATGCCTGCAAGTCTATGGCTGAAAGGGATGCAGATTTTGCATATGATTATACCACTGATGAAAACGAAAAGGTTGAAAATATTGCATGGTCATTTGGGGATTCCATTCGGGCATATACGTTGTATGGTGATGTGGTTACTTTCGACACCACATACTGTTCTATTACCTATGGCTTGCTCCTAGGAGTGTGGTTTGGCATGGATAACCATGGGAAAGCAATTTTGTATGGATGTGTTTTGCTGCAAGATGAAAATTCTCATTCATTCGCATGGGCTTTACAGGTTTGTGGAAACGAATTCCTGTAATCAGTCTGTCCCCATCTTCATGTCCTTTTTATGATTTTCTTCTTTTGAACAGACTTTTGTTCGCTTTATGAGAGGAAGACATCCACAGACAATTGTGACAGACATGGAGTTGGCTCTTAGGGATGCCATAGCAAGGGAGTTGCCAAATACGAAACATGTTGTATGTATACGTCACATTCTATCTAAGTTATCCAGCTGGTTATCTTTGCTCCTTGGATCACGGTATGAAGATTTTAAAGCTGAGTTTGACCTGATGTGTCATGTGGAAAATGTAGAAGACTTCGAACATCGGTGGAATCTTTTGGTTGCCAGATTTGAACTTGTTTCAGATAAGCATATGGCTCTACTCTTTTCATATCGAGGATCTTGGTCAATTTCCTACATCAGAGGATCATTTCTGGCTCGCACAATGACACCTGAGTTTTCACAGTCTATGCACATATTCTTGAAACAAGTCTTGAGTGGACAAACATGTCTGCAAGTATTTTTTGAGCAGGTACACAGGTCACTCATCGCTATGACTTTTAATCAACTTTGTGCTATATGATAGACTGCATTTTGAATTTTTGTTTGTGGATCTTGCAGATTGGTCTTGCTGCGAAGGTTGGAAATCAAACCAGAGACGGGATGCAGTATATGCGTATCAAGACATGCTTGCCAATTGAAGAACACGCCTGCAGTGTCCTTACACCTTATGCCTTTAATGTGTTGCAGCATGAAATTGTGCTGTCGTTGCAATATGCTATACAAGAAATGGCAGATGGATCGTATCTTGTCCGCCACTTCAAGAAAATGGATGGAGAATGTCTTGTAATTTGGATGCCAGGAGAAGAGCAAATTCACTGTTCTTGCAAGGAATTTGAACGTTCAGGAATATTATGTAGGCACTCTCTTAGACTGCTTGAGGTGAAAAACTACTTTCAGCTCCCAGAAAGGTATTTTCCCCTTAGGTGGCGACAGGATCAATCATTGGTTCCTATGGATGATCAAAATGCTCAAAGCAACAACGATGAGTGTGCTGAAGTGTTTCATGCTCTTACTGAAGCTCTATTGACAGAATCCGTAATATCCAAGGAACGTTTTAATCATGTTCAAAGAGAACTTACGGGGCTCCTTGCTGGAGTTAGAAGTATGCCTGTGGCAGAAGAATTCTCTCTGAATATACCCGCTAACAATGCCAGTGAAACGTAGTTTTGTGTATGTAGCAAATAGTGGCTATATGACTGCAGTTAGAATCTCATTCAAAGTGTTAGATATATCTGGGCCCAAAAAAATGTAAAAAGCAGTAGTGTTGAAAGCATAGAAAGAAAGTGACTGTCGATATTAATATGCAATCAAAATGGAGGTGGTGAAGCAATTTTTTCTATTTTTTGTTCTCCTTAATTATTTTCCGAAAGTATGTGAGGGGTTTTTGTACGATGTCTTTAACCAAAGACATTGTTGTTGTCGCCATTGAAGCTTAAAAAACGTTGAACCAAACATGAAATAGCCGATTGAATATTATGTACGCAAGCGATTGTAAGGCTTTTATTAGTTTGGAGGACTAAGCTGACTTGCATGCTTTACGGCAGGACTAGATTTTTTTATTTTTTATTTTAATCTGAACTCAAGAACTTTGAGAGAAGAGAAATATTAATGAAAATTGAACTAACGCTGATGTGTCAGTTGGGAAATGATTTCATTTGGTCCATAACTCTCATTTCATAAAAATGTATAGTGCATGGTTGGTGTTATCTTATCTTCTTCTTTTTCTTTTTCTTTTCCCCTGATCATAGATTTATCCCGAAGTTACCACTAGTTAGGCAATCAGGGTTTAATATTAATAGTTAATTGTTAGTGAGATAAAAGAGTCGTATTATCACCATAAGAATTAAATTGACTATTATCCTCAAACTCAAAAGATTATTTTGGCATGGAGAATTGAATTCATGATCGCTTTGCAAGTGCAAGAGTTCATTAACCTAATGGTAATAGTTGATATTATTTTTGTTGTTGTTGTTATTAAAGAGATGTTATTATCTCTATTGTTGTTGTTGAGGAAAGGCTTAAACTCGAGACTTTTTTGGAGAGCGGAGGATTTTGATATTAGTTAAGGTACAAGTTAGAAAAATTTATTAATTAGTGTCCTTATGTTATAAGGATGGTCTCCAATTGAGGAAAATCAAGCCAGTAAAATTTTATGTTTTAATCAAGCTTCCAATCAATTCTTATGTCAGTAAAATTCATTGAATCTAACAAATTATTAAGGATGCATTAATGACAAAGAAGAAGAAGAAAGATGCATACAAAAATTTTGAATAAGAAACTTAAAAAACCATGAAATTAATTACGAAAGAAATAAAATTATTCTAGAAATAATTTGAAAAAAAAAAATCTAAAACTTCGAACAAAACATGAAAGTTTTTTAATTTTTTTTGTAATTAATCGTAGAGACTTTTAAAAGATTCTATTCGAATTTAGGTTTTCTGACATTAATTAGAGTGATATTTTATTAATAGATGTATTAAATTCAACAAATATTATCAATGGAAGGACCTACTCAAGACTTCAGCAAAACACTGGATTCTATTAGCTTGAATTTTTGTTTCTTGTTAGAAACGTATTAAAGACTTATACGTATCATACAAGGATATATGGATTAATTTGTCCCACATAAGAAACTAAGGGATCGAGCTTGTCAATGGATTAATCTGAAGCGTCACCAGTTTAATTAAGAAGAAACAATCCTTTCAAGTGGATGGCATGCAGCAGCAGTACCATTAGCATGCATGATCAGTCCCTGAGTGGAGTAGGTACGTTTAGATAAGAAAGGTCTCTGATTTCATTAAGCAATTAAGCATGCATGCACTCTTCAATCAGGACACCCTTTTCTTTTTTTTTTTTTGGGACATGCTCATTGAACAATATTTGAATCCATCCTGTTCTGTATTTGGTTAACTAGAGTGGACCAAATCTAAATATGTTGGTCATTTGTTGGAGGGGCAGGTAAAAAAATGGTTAAAATTCATGTCTCTGCCTTTTTTTTTTTTTTTTCCCTCTCTGTGGCTGATAATGCTCGCGTGTGCTTGGGTTGAACGTGCAATGGAACATGCATGAACAAGTCAAAAGACAGCCTCCTCTGTCATTATGTTCACACTGCAGTAGTGTTTTGTTATTAACTTCATTTTCATATTTATCTCTTCTTTACTAATTACCCTGCTAAGGAGGTGGAGGTGCATGTGCGTAGGAGGGAGGGACCCAACGAACCCAGAGATGGTAGAATCTCATGGGGGAAGACTGATCGAAGAGATGTCATGTTGGTCATCGTAGAAGATTTCTTGTTTCTTTAGTAATTATGACTGTTTACTTAGGGGTGGCCAGGTGGGGTTCGTGGGTCTGTTTTGTACCCTTTTTTAGTCTATGGTTGGAATTGAGTTAACCCTTTTTGGTTGCTGAATTGCCTAGTGGTCATTGCACATCATAATTCTGAAGCTGTAACCAAAACTGGGCATGCAAACTCATAAGGTAGTGAAGGACATGATCCTAAGATCTTAGGGGTCGGTCCATCAGGCCACTCATAATGTAGCTTGACATAATGTTAGGATCCTAGGAATTAGAATGCCAAAACTCCTTTTATTGATTGGCTGTCCATACATGAGTGTGGATATATACATATATATATATATGTGGAAAGAGATGAACGAGCAGACAAGCACACCGCTTGGAGGTTGGAATCTGATTGTTAAAAGTTGAATTGCCTATAGATATGTATGCCTGTGGCACAGATGCTAACGCGCCCACCTAATCTTTTTGGCATATCCCTAGCATCAACTAATATAGACTCAACTCAACAAAAAGTTGGTCCAAAAATTCCAATCGAATGGTTGGAATCCAATTTTTACCCATTATTTTCTATCTTTCCAGACATAACTTCTTTTCATATTGGATAGGTGTAACTTCGTTATCAACTGACAGCAATATTCCATTAATGTCCGTCCAGGCTTCTTTATCTTCGCTAAGGGGGTCCATATATTTTGTTGAACCTGAGACAAAAACAAATCTATTCGTGGCATCGTCAAAAAGGTGTATTTATTTTCATTGTTTACTCAGTTTGAATTCTGCGTCATGTCAATGTGAAATGTGTATTTATATTAAAAAAAAAAAAAAAAAAGACAATCTAAAGCTAATAAAAAATTATTGATTGGTCGTATAAATTAATCTAAAATTACTTGATAAATAAAATGAAATGAAATAAAAAATCGAAAAGATAGATTTCCGTAGCAAACACAGTCATGGTCCCATTGATGTGTAATATATTACGCGTGTTGGAAGCTTTAGTGTGAACAAAAAGACAGAAAACTTATCTCACATTTAGAGCCATATTCATAGATAGTACTGTCAAAGAATTATGTTCCCTTTTTTTTTTTTTTTTTTTTTTTGAATTTTGTCGAATATTAATGGGACAGTATCGAAAAGATGGATCCACCATGAGAAACATAGATATGTTTACATTGATGTGTGACAATTGACAAATTGGAAGGATTGGAAGCTCCGGTGTGAACAAGGAGACGAAGACTAATCTGCCAACTCAGGCACGAAGAAGACCTGAAGTCAAGTGAGTTATCGCTTGGTAGATTCTTACCAGTTGCCAGGCCAATAAGAAAAATATATAGTATTATATTATATGATGCAAGCAAGAGGGAAAATGAGCACATGGCGTAAAGCAATAAGATGATGGATTTTACCGATCCCCACAAGATTCCATTTGATTTGCCATTCCATGCCTAACTCCTTTTCCTAATTTTGTATTTAATTTGAAGTAGAAACCCCACTTATTATTATGCTACCTAAGTGATTAATTGAAAAAACAAAAAAAAAAAAGCATTAATAAGGGTTGGTAACCGTACATCATTTGAAATTTATGCATTGGCCAACTAGGTAGGACCTCAAACCAAACTTGTGATTTTTAATTTGCTTGAATAGCAGTATTGCCTGCTCCATCAATAAGAGTCCCCTTATAAAAGATTGGGAGAAAATAATATATTGATGCGTATATATTTCTTACTTCAATTTACAATGAGTGAAGCAATAGTAAAGTAAAAAACAGAATTAACTGTACATGGAATGACTTGAGTTTATTCTTTATCACCTTCAACTTGATGCGCATAAAAGGTAAAGGAAACCCCCTTTTTTTTTTTTTTAAGAAAAAAAAAAAGGCAAACCATCAGTCTTCTGGCTATATATAGTTTTTCGATTGAGTCTCCTTATCACCAATTTCATCAATTAAGTCCCTCGTTTCCTCTAGTGAAATTATATATCCAACTATTACTTTGGATTTAAGACAATTTATTCTTCAGAATATACAATATGTTTTTATTTTTGCTTCAAGACCTTGAGAAATTAGGATTAGCTAGAAATGCATGACTCGTTAAACAAAGCTTACATGCTAAGATGTCTGTGATGAAATTCCTGAAATTCCATTCTAATTTTGCTAATTAATTTAATTGAACATTGTTTGCAGTTATGCATATGTTTGATACTATTAAGTAAAAATAATGGTATTGGATTTTTTTTTTCAATTTTTTGTGATAATGAAAAATAATGAGATTGGTCATATTGGAAGAAGAAAGCAGCATATAATAGCTAGCAAGATTAATGCTTCCGAATTGAGCACATTTCAGCAGTAAAATTAAATTTACATGACCAGGGACTATAGACCGGCGAGCAGGACATTTCTGGGCAAAATCCAAGTCAGGGGAAAAAGAAAAATTAAAGACAAAAATCATCTTAGCTAGGAAGTCTTCAGTTTTCTTTTTTTGTATCTAATCATGCTTAATATCGAACCATGATAAGTTGTTGAGCTTCAAATTTGATTTCATCTCTCATCTTTCTTATAAAATCATCACATTTCTTGTTCAATTCCTCTGTACTAAGCAACCCAATTACTTCCTCTTCATCTCCTTCTCCATCTTCATCAATAACAATAATCTCATGATCTCCTTGTTCATCTCCTCCTGCGATAACCAAAGTCTTGTCTTTTATGGCTTCTTGTACTTCTTTCTCTTCCATCACAACCTTTTGTACTTCTTTCACTTCCATTATAACCTTTTCCTCTGCAACCAATGCCGGTTTCGTGATATCTGATACTTCAACTACTTTCTGTGGACTGCCTCCACTCTTTATGTTTTTCTCACCGCAAAGGCTAGTGGTAGTGTCTTGATGAGAATTGCTGATTTTGAGACCAGAGTTCTTGACAATTAAAACTAGAATGCCATTGCAAAGAAGGAACACGTAGTTCTTGTCAATACTGAAGCTGGAGAATTGCATGAAGTTGGATAAGAAAGGGAGTAGTGAAGAATAAGAAAATACTATTACTGAAAAGAAACATACTGGGGCTAACAACTTAGTTGCTAGCTTGAAAGGGTGGAGATTGCTGAATTGGGTCAAATTGGATTGGCAATTTTGATGCTCGACACTTTCCATTTTCTTGGAAGAGAAAGAAAAGGAGCTTTTTGAGACAATAATACAAGGAAAAAAAAATTCTTAAAAAGTTCTGGCGATCAGAGTTTGAAGAGGATAATGAGAGAGACAGTGAGATTGTTTAGAATAGGCTGAAGAAGACAGTGAGCATTGCAATATATATACAAGTTGAGAACCTCAAAAGCCAGCTATTCCTTACAGTTACATTATCAGAATTGCCCTTGCTAATCAAGAAAAGATGCTTAGAAATTTGGGTAATTTGGGGAGCTGACCAAGTCAGTCAACTACCCTTGCCTTGACTGTACTGTAAAAAACCAAGAAGGTAAATTTTTAGCCGCGGTGATGGGGCTCGTCTTCTGAGAAGACTCGTGGCCGTTTGAATTTGTCTCTCTCAGTACTTTCTTCGGGATCAGCTAGGCATTTTCGAGGAAGTTATGTTGGAAAAATAAAAAAATATTATTTCAAAATTTTGAATGAAAAACACCAAAACAGTTTTACTTAAATTTTTATAGATGATTGTCTCAAGGTACAATCGGGTTATTTTCTTGAGACGATATGCATTATCCGCAGAATTTTTTCGATGCAACGGATTAGGAATGTATTACACGTCGTCCCGAGGATACAACAAGCTCAATCACCTTATCGTGTCTTGACAAGTTTGCACAATTTGTAAGACTTGAAACTCAATTATAAAATAGCACCACTCTTACCTAAAAAAACGATTAACAATAAAAAATAATATGGCTTTAAGTGAGAAATAAAAATAATAAAATTGAAAGAAACTTTTTCTCTCTAAGCAAAAAAAAAAAAAAAATTGCTTGCTATTTTTTTTCACTCTCCACTAAGCAAGGAAATGTTTCGTTGAAGTGAAGTTCACCAAATGGCAAGTGCCATTTATATAGGAAAAAATTTACCCATTGGTTGCCTAGATTAATTGAAAATAAATGAATAAACGGAATAAGCATTTAAAAAGGACGTTGTATTCATTGAATAAGAAAAAGAAAAACTGATGCAGACTTTTGTTTTAAAACACAACTCAATGTATAAGTTACTCGTTTGAAACAATAACTTATACCTCTTAACTTTAATGGTGTAAGTTACTATTTCAATAGTAACTTATACCTCCTTTTAATATATATATTATTAAAAATAATCCAACAATCCCCCACTTATTTTTAATAAAATATTAGCCATATAATTTTGGGTAAGGAAACAAATATAATACATAATAAGGGTGTCAATGGCTTAAACCCTTACTTAATGTTTCAACAACATTTCTTTCAAGCCAATAGTGAACATTGTCTTGAACTAAGGCTTTTTAAGTAAAAAAATATTGTATCACACATATTATATTCGAGTACTCTACGACGAGTTTCAAAGCCGGGACATTAACGACCTTGTGCTTTATCCCAACTTCTATGAATGTTCTAGAGAATTAGCCTAATTCTCATAGGAAGCCGACCCCACTTCCTCACTCATATAGGTGTGTCTATCAAGGATGCTCCCATAACTCTAGCATCGCATTCAATAAGAACTATAGACCACATTAAAAGTTTCTTCTCAAGAAACTTAACCTTTTTTTCGTTATGGGAATCATGCATTTACACCATAATGATGGAAAAATATGCTAGTGCATGATAATCAACTACTTTTATGATTCGTTTTTCCCTTTGAACCTAGATCTTGGGATCTTCGATCATCTAGGTAGGGTATCCTCATAAGTAATTTATTTATCTTTAGGCTTTAAACCCATTCCCTTCAATGTTATCCAAATCTTATCTTTAGCTAAAGCTTTTGTGAAAAGATCGGCTAAATTATCCTTTGTATTGATGTAATCAAATTTATAGCACTTTTGTTTATATACGACCTCATAGTACTTATGTTTTTTTCTAACGGATCTAGATTTTTCATTATAATATCTATTGTGCATAGTTCCAATAACAGTTAGTGCTATCACAATGAATTAAGACAATGTGGTATAAGTTTTTGCCACATAGAAATTTTATACAAAAGATCACATAACCAACTCCGCTTCATCACTAGGCCGAGGCTAGAGCTATCGCCTCGCCTCAATAGTGGATTTTGCAATTATTGACTTTTTTAGATTTTCAACATATTGCTCCTTCACCTAAAGTAAAAACATACCCAATGGTAGACAATGAATCACTAGATAAGGTGTTCCAATCAGCATCACTATATCCTTCAAGTATAGCAAGATACTTTTGATATAATAAACCATAATTCATTGTACCTTTCAAGTATCTCATTAGACGAGTTATGGCATTCCAATGTTGAGCATTGGTTTTACTAATAAATCTTGGTAGTACCCTAATAGTAAAAGCAATATATGGTCTTGTACGATACCGTAGCATACCCGAGACTACCAATAATACTAGCATACTCTTTTTGATAGCAAATGTTATTATCATTTTTTGTTGAAAATAGATACACGATAGTATCAAATAGAGTCCCTACGAGTTTGCTATCTAAAAAATAATATTTTTTCAAAAGCTTTTCAACATAATGAGATTGATCAATAAATGTTCCACTTAAAACTCTAGAGACTCTCATGCCAAGTATCATATTTGCTTCACCTAAATCTTTCATAGCAAAATTATTTTGAAGCAATAATTTAGTATTATTAATAACATTCATTTTTTAGCCAAAAATTAAAAGATCATCTACATATAAGCATATAATCACATGAACATTCTCAAAGGATTTATAATAGATGCACTTGTCACTTTTATTTGCTTTAAAACCATTATTAAGTAAGCAAGCATCAAATTTTTCATGTCATTGTTTAGGTGCTTGTTTTAAACCATATAAAGATTTTTGTAACTTGCATACCTTATTTTCATCACCTTGTGCTATAAAACCTTCAGAGTTGATCCATATATATTTCTTCTTCTAAATCTCCATTTAGAAGAGTTGTCTTTACATCCATCCGGTGTATAAACAAGTTATGAATAGCGAAGAATTGCAATAAGTAATCTAATAGATGTTACCTTGGTTATTGGAGAAAAAGTGTCAAAGAAATCAATATCTTCTTTTTGTTTAAAACCTTTAGCTACTAGTTTGGCTTTGAACTTGTCTATAGACCCATCGAGATTCAATTTCTTTTTAAGTACCCACTTACAACAATTGTCTTACAACCGAAGGTAATTCAACTATTTTTCAAGTATTATTTAAAATTAGAAAATCCATTTCATCATTAATAGCTTCTCTCCAAAAGTTTGCATCATGAGAAGATAAGGCTTGTTCTAAAGAAATAGGATCATCTTGTACATTATATAAGTAGTAATCAAAAAACGTCTTTTTCAAATCGAATCTTTTACTTTTTCGAGTTTCAAAATCATTTTCATATTCACATCTTGAAGAAGAAGAATTAACACTTGGTTGAAGAATCATACCCCCACTATTTTCTACCTTCAAAGGAAATTTGTTTTCATGAAAGATGGCATCCAAAGATTCAATAATAGTTTTGTTATCACGATCAAAAAATCTATAAGCTTTACTATTCAAAGCATAACCCAAAAAAGCACAAGTAGAAGCTTTTTACCAAATTTTAGTCTTTTAGGATTAGGTAGCCTAACAAAAGCTAAACAACCCCACACTCTTAAAAAAAATCTAATTTTGGCTTATATCCTTTCCATAATTCATAAGGAGTTAAAAATATGGTTTTATGAGGAATTCTATTTAAAATAAAATTTACGAGATAAAATAGCTTCATCCCATAAATTCTTTGGAGCATTAGAACTAACAAGCATAGAATTTACCGGATCAATTAGAGTTCGTTCTTCCTTTCAACTAGACCATTTGAAGAAGGTGAATATGGAGTCAGTAACTTCATGCACAATATCATTAGTTTGCATAAAATTATTAAAACTAATAGAGCCATATTCCATGCCTTTATCACCGTGAAGCCTCTTTAACTTTTTACCAAATCGTTTTCAACTTCTTTTTAAAAAGTAGTAAATTTTTCAAAGGCTTCATTTTTATGATTCATAAGAAAAAAACATATGAATATTTTGAGAAATCATCAATAAAAGTTATAAAATAACGATTACCATCACGAGTTAGAATACCACTAAATTCACATATATCAATATGTATTAGTTCTAATAATTCGAGTATTATGATCAACACTTTTAAAAGGTTTTCTTAAAATTTTAGCCATGCTACAATATTCACATTTTTCAAATTCATTTTCAAATTTAGGGATTAAACCAATATTACTCTCAAGTTTTTCACATATTTGCAATTTATATGACATAATCTACCATGCCAAACATTCACATAAGAAACAATGTAAGCGTAAGTGGATCCTTCATTATTCATTTCAATATTAAGTTTAAACATCCTATCACAAGCATAGCCTTTTCCAATAAATAGGCCTTTTTTGGTAAGTACATATTGGTCGACCTCAATGACTTGCTTAAAGCCGACCTTATTCAAGAGAAAACCGTAAACCAAATTCTTACGAATTTCGGATGCATGCAACACATCTTTGAGAGTAACCTCTCTTCCGTATGTAAATTTAATGAGTACCTCTCCAACCCTCATTACATCGGTAGTGTGAGAATCACCAAGCATGGTTTTCTTTTTCTCATCCAAGATTGTATAAGTCTTGAACAAGTTTTTGTTACAAGAGACATGTCGAGTAGCTCCCGAATCAACCCACCACCCATCCGAGCCTTCGAGAATATTAATCTTGAAAATCATAGCCACAAGTGGCTCTTCGATAACATTAGCTCGAGCAACAAGCCCAAGTTTTCGAAGTCAACAATTTTTAGCAACATGCCTAGGTTTACCACAAACAAAACAAGCATAAGCATTATTGTGGT